GAGAGAGAGAGAGAGGAGGAGGAGGAGAGGGAGGGAGGGATTCGACTTGTAGAATGAGTTAGGTTGGAGTTTTTAGTCCCATAGTCATGCATGATATATATCTATTTATTTTGACTTTGCTTTCGTCAATTTACTTGATTGGGTATACTAAAGGTGTACTAATTACTCTTTGATCTTGGACATGAAAAGAAAAAAAGTGGTATCTAAGCACATCTAATTCATCCACAAAGATTGAATTGATGAATAAGAATCAAAGAAATATAAAGAAGAAAGAATTGAAATGAATTCTTCCATTCATTTTCATGATATTAAACTACACTTCTAGAAAACCATGTTTGTGGCATTTGTGTCACCCAAACTTTGTATAGGCAATCTCTTCATCGAAACAATTAGTCCTAAAAAAATGAAAATTCGATTTGTACCTTACATATGGTCAACATGAGCCCCCCTCGAACAATGAATCCTGTCTATTTGGTGAATTTTAAGATCTAGGCCTTTAGGAACTCAAAATCAGTTTTTTTTTGCGTTTTAACATTATATTTTTTGAGTGAATGTTTTTTAACATTATTCATCTAATGGTAACACAACCATCTACAAAATTCAAGAGTTTCTTCTAAGGCTTAGCTGTAAGCATCTCACCAAATGGACGCCCTATGTTAAGTGGGTTAAAAAAGCATTCGTGAGGGTGCATTTTCATATTTTTTGGTTATTTATGAAAATGAAAAGAGTATTAGTTTACAAATTAGGGTCAAACAAACGGGCTAGCATAGTTTTTTAATATTGTTTCATCATTTTATTATTATAGAAGCACTACATAAAATCACTCATCTAGAGTTAACAACGTCTCAAAATGCAAAAGTTAATGTTAAAATAGTTGTGATGGGTGTATTTATCAAAAAAAATCTTAATTTCTGTTTTAAAATTTATTTTAATAGGTAACTTAGTCATTAAGGGTAAATTTGAACGTTTTATGAAAGTGCAATGATATTTTGGAAGTTAGTGTCCTGGAATTTGGTTTTAGAATACCCTTGCCTTTTAGTAAAAATTTCAACTTTACCACTTATAAAGATGTGATAGTACCCGTTCCCTTTTAGTGATATTTACAAATACACCCTTGCTTGATGAAGATGACAAAAAGTAACTTTTTTTAAAAACGAAACCACATAGTCAGTAAATCCACCCGTCATAACTCGTTCCAATATTGGCCTTTGTATTTTGTAGGGTTGTGAATTGTGGTTTTTCATTCCCTTAGGGCCACCCAGCTATATGGGCGCCTGCCTAGGCAGCTAGCCGACCCCCTTAGGCGTCAGGACTTCTAGCCTCCTAGGCGCCGCCTCTGCGTTTTTGAACACCAGTCTCAGCTAGTAATCTGTCTGCAGATGATATCTTTGGATTTCCAAGTTGTTTGTGCCCTGCCAACTAGGGAGATTTGGAGATAATGAACTCTGATCTGCATGTACTCATTGGAAAGGGACATTTTTCTTTGGGTTTTGCTGGTTGCTGGTACTCTAAAGCATGCATGTGCTTTATGTTCTTCAACTGACTGATGGGTGTGGTTTGTCATTTCCTTCTCACTTTGCATAGTATAGTATGAAGGATGTGTGACATCATTTATCTGTTGGGGCCACATTATTTTGATGCACCCATTTAATGCAGAATATGGATGTGACCCCCAGTTGTTTGAGATATGGAGATTCAACCATTCCGTTACTCATTATCACATTATTTTGGCTATATTGTTCTTTTAAGTCCTTTGAAGTACTTCATATAAAGTTTATTGCAAAGCTATTTTCTATGTTGGCAGGCATACATTGACTTAGCCAATAGCTATGCAACTGGAAAGATTTCAGAAGTGGAGAAATGTCTTGAGACTCACGTGGATAAGTTTAAACTTGTAAGGTCTTGATTCACTTCTTGAATTAATGCCTTTTGCATTTCTATATATGAAGATTTATGTGGTCATATCTTTGATATGCACCTCAATGTTTTTTCAGGATGTCAATCTCGGATTAGTAAAGCAAGTTGTATTGTCTCTATACAAGCGTAATATTCAACGGTTGACACAAACTTACTTGACTTTATCCCTCCAAGATATTGCCAGCACAGTGCAATTGGAGACATCCAAGCAAGCTGAATTGCATGTGCTTCAAATGGTATCTTCACTACTTGAGAGGAGCATTAGAATCTTTAGAAATCAACTTATGTTTGTTTCATGAGAAAGTGGTAACACCTTGAGAAAGTGGTGTTCCAAGAGCGCTTTGTCAATGTAAAGACCGGGGGAAGCGCTGTCATAACTATTTTGGATGAAAGTGGTTTCCCATGTGACGGGGCTTTCATATGGGAAACATCTTTGGCAAAAGTGTCCCACAAAACTTGTGTACCCTAAAACAAACAACAATCTTTTCTCTGGATATTTTTTCTAGATTCATGGTGGGGAGATTTTCGCATCAATCAACCAGAAGGATGGGATGGTGAGCTTTCATGAAGACCCTGAGCAGTATAAGACTTCTGAGATGATCGAGCATATTGACTCATCAATTCGGAGGTATGCCTTATGTTTTTGTTGTGCCATCAGTTTACAAATGCGAGTCAACTGATAGTTGCTCTAAGATTTTTGTTGGAAATACAATTTTTTTTTAAAATTTTTTATAATTTCACTTTTTAACACATTTCTTTTTTTTATTATGTTCTATTTTTATTTTTGGGAAATTTATCAACATACCTAGAATATTAACTATTTAAAACTTTACCATTTTTCTAGTATTCCAACTCAAAATCATGTGTATTTTGATGTGCATTTTGAAATTAAATGAAAGCTAGTATTCCAATTCAAAATCATGTGTATTTTGATGGGCATTTTGAAATTAAATGAAAGCAATGGGTAAAAGGATTTTTTTTTTTTAATTTTATAATTTCACTTTTTAACACATTTCTTTTTTTTTATTATGTTTTATTTTTATTTTTGGGAAATTTATCAACATACGTAGACTATTAACTATTTAACATTTTACCATTTTTCTAGTATTCCAACTCAAAATCATGTGTATTTTGATGTGCATTTTGAAATTAAATGAAATCTAGTATTCCAATTCAAAATCATGTGTATTTTGATGGGCATTTTGAAATTAAATGAAAGCATATGGGTCAAAGGTTAAATAGTTGAAAAGTAAGGTGTACTCTTGATAAATTTCCCTTGATTTTTTACTTGAAAACTTGCATAATGCTTTACTTTTAGATGGATATTGTCGTTCTCTACCCTCTAAATTTGATTGTATATAGGACTAGTGATGCAAATTATTAAATGACGAACACAATGGGAACATGATGGTAGAAGGGGCTCTTGGTACAAGTGATGGCGGAGGTCATAAATACATTCATAGGATTAGGATGTCGAAAGTGAAAGAAGCTTTTGAAAGGATGAAGATATGAAAGGCTTTAGGACTAGTTGGTATCCCAATAGAAGTTTGGAAGTGTATGGGGGAAATTGGCATTGACTGGCTGACAAAGCTCTTCAACAAGGTGTTGAGAACAAAGAAAATGCCAGACGAATGGAGGAAAAATACTGTGGTACCTATCTACAAGAACAAAGGAGACATACAAAATTGTGCAAACTATCGAGGGGGCAAGTTTATGAGCTGCCATACTATGGAGCTCTGGGAGAGAGTCATTGAGCAACGACTAAGGTATGAAATGAGTGTATCTGAAAATCAATTTGGTTTTATGCCAAGAAGGTCAACAATTGAGGCTATTTTCCTACTTAGGCAATTGATTGAGAAGTTTAAGGTGAAAGGAAAAGACCTCCACATGGTCTTTATTGATCTAGAAAAAGCTTATGATAGAGTACATCGAGATTTGATTTGGCTAGTGTTGGAAAAGAAAGGTGTCTTTAGACACTACATCTACTTGGTGATAGATATGTACGATGGAGCGCTAACTAATATACAAACATCTAGTGGAGAGACAAGTGAGTTTTCAGTGACAATATGTCTATACCAAGGGTCAGCATTGAGGCCGTACCTCTTTGTCTTAGTTATGGGCGACTGAACTAGGCACCTACAGGATGAGGTACCGTGGTGCATGTTGTTCGCAGATGAAATATTTTTGATTGATGAGATCCGAGACGGCATCAACACAAAGTTAGAACTTTGGAGGGATGCTTTAGAATCCAAAGGTTTTAAAGTTAATCAGACTAATACAGAGTATATGGAGTGCAAGTTTAGTAATAATAGGAGTAGAGATGAGGAAGTAGTTAAGATTGATGGCCAAGAAGTACAAAGTAGACCGCATTTTCGATATCTTGGGTCGATAATCCAAGAAAATGGAGAGATTGAGAAAGATGTCACACACAGAATTAAAGCTAGGAGGGCGAAGTGGTGATGTGCAACTGGAATTTTATGTGATTGCCGCATCGCAATGAGGTTGAAGGGAAAGTTCTATAGGACATCGGTGAGACCAGCTTTGCTCTATAGGGTGGAATGTTGGGTAGACAAAAAACAATATACTATACCCATAGAATGGGTGTAGCGGAGATGATGATGTTGAGATGGATGAGTGGCAAGTCAAGAAGAGATAGATTTCGAAATGAATCTATTCGAGAAAATTTAGGCTTGGCACCAATAGGCGAAAAAAATAAGAGAGAGTAGAGTTAGGTGGGCTGGCCATGTGTGGTGCCGAAACTTTGAAATTGCCCAAACTTTTACATTCAATAGCCAATTAAGCCAAAATAAAAAATTCATGGTTTACATCCATTAGCATTTCAAACATTTCTTCAAAGTTCAAAAGTTAAAGTTCAACACATTCCGAAGTTCTAAAATCCAAAGTGGAATGGTGTAGATCTAGTAGGTTGGAACTAGGGTTTAGCAAAGAAAAAGATAAGGAAGATCCAAAATTAGATTAATAATGCAAAACGAGAGATAAAAGGAGCATTAGCTTCTCTATGGTTTTGAATAAGTCCATAACAAGATGCTTCATTATACTTGAGTGCATCCGTTATATAAGAAAATCCTAAGAAGACTTAATCTTGACCATCCATCAAATCTAATCATAGCCATTCATTATAAAAGACTTTAAGTGAATAGAAAGACATAAAAGTCCTTAGAAATTACTACTTATGCCCCTAAGTGAATAAAATGAATCAAGAAATAAATAAAAGACATAAAAAGACAGATTCAATGGCTATTTCGCCTCTGTGGTCCCTCTTGTAAACTTTAAGCTTGTCTCTCTTATCTTGATATTGAAGAGCAGCATTTTGGGCTGCATTAGACCCCCCCTGCCTCAAAAGAATTCGCCCTTGAATTCGGCTGCTTGTTGTCAGTGGTATCACCATGATATGAAATTGAGATGCTTGACATTAAAAACATCTGAACTGAGAATATGGCTAGGAAGCTTTAATTTGCAGGCATTCTCATTAATCTTCTGCACCACTCCACATGGCCCAATCTTGCACCGGCTCAACTTGTGCTATTTCCCTGCTGGAAATCTATCCTTAGTCAAAATTGCCTACACAAAATCTCCAATATTAAAAATCATATGCCGACGATGCTTGCCTTATATTTGGCATTTGACTCTTCTAGCTGCTGCCGAACCTTGTCATGAACAAATTTCATATGTTCGATCAAGTCTTTCGCCTTGCCACTAACTCGGCCCGTATGTGGAACTGGTGCTAAATTGAGGGCACTCCTTGGGTTCTGTCCATAAACAAATTTCAAAAGGACTAAAACATGTGGACCGATCCTGGGACCTGTTAAAAGCAAACTCAGCCTGAGATAAGGTTTGATCCCACTGCTTAAGATTGGTGCCCACCAGACTATGAATCAAATTACCCAAGCTCCGATTCACCCCTTCAATCTGACCATTTGTTTGTGGATGATACACAGTGCTAAAATTCAGTGAAGTGCCAAGCTTCTTCCAAAATCTGATCACAATCAGAAGTGATAGATTTAGGCACACCATGAAATCTGACAATCTCCTTAAAGAACAATGTGCAATATGCGAGGAATCCATTGTCTTTCTACAAGCTAGAGAATGAGCCATCTCAGAAAATCGATCAACCATACATAGCAAAGACCGAGTCCATACCTCGTTGTGTACATGGCAAACCTAGGACAAAATCCATGCTCACATCTGTCCACAGTGACTTCGGAATGGGTCATGGCATGTATAGGCCAGCATTAGTAGCAGTCCCCTTATATCTACTCACGTCTGGCTTTAACTTTGGCCAATGATGATCAGCACTAACCTAAGCCAGTCTTATCCTTCCATAAGTGTCCCTTGCCATGTGACTCTTGGATAATTTGCTGTCTTAAAGAACACTTAGGAACACACAGACAATTCCCTTTGATAAAGAACCCCATCATACTCAACATAATCATCATGTTGGCCAAAATCAACCTCCTGAAGAAGTCTCCCAGAGTATGTATATTGGGAAAAAGTCTCAGAAAGTGTCAAATCCCAACACTTTAGCCTGCATAGTAGCAAGCAAAGAGGCTCTCCTACTTAGTGCATCCGCTACCTTATTTTGTGCACCAGATTTATGCTCTAGGATAAAAGTGAACTCCTGGAGGTATGCCACCCACTTGGTATGTGAATGATTCAACTTATGCTAGCCATTAATGTGCTTTAACTCATGATAAAAATAAAGAATGACTTTCCACTGGATCAAGTAGTCTCTCAAATGGCATAAATAGCATAATTTCTGACTGAAATAAGCTACAGGTTTACCATCCTGACTTAACACTGGACCAATAACGACCTTAGAAGCATCACAATTACTTCAAAGACTTTTTCAAAGTTTGGAAGCACTAGGACTGGTGGTGCTGATAGCCTCAACTTGATCTACATGAAGCTTTTTTCTACTTGTGGTGCCCATTGAAAGACTTTGTTCTTCACACAATATGTGAAAGGTGCCATATTTGCGCTGAAATGATGTCTGAAGCGCTGATAAAATGAGCCCAAAGCATGAACTACACACATCATGGATTGCTTCGGCATCGGCCAAATCTACAATTGCTCGTACCTTGGATTCATCAGCTCTTAACACCTTCTCCAGAACTTCATAACCCATGAAAATCACAGGTCAGCCATTAAACGGCCCTTCTTCATGTTGGCATATTATTTATCCCTGTGCAAGTAGGCAAAACCCCCTGCAAATGCTGCAATTGCAAGTTAGTAGAAGTGCTGTAAATTAAAATATCATCAAAATATACTACTACAAATCTGCCAATAAACGGCTTGAGCACATGATCCACGACTCGCATGAATGTGCTACCATTCGTAAAACCCTTCTCTAGTCTTGAAGGTTGTCTTCCAATCATCTCTAGGTCTGATCCGAATTTGATGATAACCGTCTATCTTCGAGAACATCTGAGCATCCGTAAGCTGGCCCAACATGTCATCAAGCCGGGGTATAGGACAACACATCCTCCGGCTGTTTATGGCCCTGTTGAACACATCCTCCAGCTGTTGTCCTTTTTATTAGAAGTAAGAAGTGCTGGGACAACACAAGGACTCATACTCTCTCTGATATAACCGTTGGTCAATAACTCTTTTACTTATCTGCAAAGCTCTGCATGCTCTTGTGGGCGCATTCGACAGTGTGGTTTGCTAGGAAGCTAGCACCTGGCAGCAATCAATGTGGTGCTGCTTAGCATACATGGGGGGCAATCCTGGGGGTAGCTCCTCGAGGAGAACATCACAAAACTTGTCCAAAAGTGGTCTAACCACCTTAGGGACAAGATTACTCAACAGCTCCTTCCCCACAAGATGCAAACACAACCCCAGATTCCTTCATTTCCTCTGTAAATCTGGCCAAAGAAAGAAAAGTCTATGGGCTAGAATTATTTTTAGGTTATCCTTTCAAAACATATTATTATTCTTGCACCCATCATGTATGGCATGTCTATCATACTACCAAGGCCTCCCAACAAGATATGGCACACATCCATTGTCAACAACACAGCACACATTGTCATTATAGCGCTGGCCATTGGAAAAAGAAACTAGGCAACGTTTAGAGACTGTTACCTCATTGCCATTTTTGAATCAAGATAATTTGTAGGGATGTGGATGGTCTTTCACACTCAAATGTAGCTTTGTCATGGCCTCAATTGATGCCACATTTTTGTAACGGCCACTATCAATAACCATGGTACAAAACCCTTCCTCCAATTGTGCATGAGGTGTGAATATAGTGGTTCGCAATCAATCTTCTTGTGTGTTCTCTTTCTGTGCCAAGAAGCTCCTTTTGGCCGCTAATGCTTCACCACAATATATGCTATTTTAAGGTCTTGAAATTCTAATTTTGTTTCACAACAATAATGATCAAGGTCGAGATAATCGATTTGAAGGTTTTTGATACTGGAACTATAATTTTTGATCAGTTTTGAGTTGAGGCTTTACTTTTTCCACAAAGCCTTGGCTTTATTTTAACCTAATTCTTGTTTTTAATTCTATTTATAATTTAAAATTCTTTTAGAATTTGTCTATTATTTTTAAATTATATTTTATATATAAAAAATTTCTTGTTGGGGCAGTACTGGGTTTTAAGCTGAAGTACTAGATATCTGAGAGACGTACTAAAACCGACACAGGTGTATACTGTTATTTGTCTCTCTTTTTTTTTTTGATATTAATTTGTGCATATATGTATTGGTTCCTTTAATCTAATCCATTAAGATAGCTGGTTGTCTATTCCATTTGCTCTCTTTTTTGGGGCTATTCATTTCTCAGGGTGGCTGGTTGCCACAACATGACATCAAGACTTTCTTTCATACCAAGTTCCTATGTTACCATTCCCAGGGGGGGAAAAAAGGAGGTTAAAATATATGTTTGTAATGATCTGGAAGTTAGGAATGTCCCATTTTCTTTTCTAGACATTTGCAGTATTTTGATGTGAAGAATGTCACTTTCACAGAGAACTACTGTGAATTTGTCGTATGTACTATTGGGAGTTGCAAAGCCGGTGTACTCGTTAATGTGTATGTTTATTGTTCATGTACTATTTCTTGAAACAAGCTTCATTGCTGTTCCTTGTTGTTCTAGAATTATGTTGCTCTCGAAGAAGCTAAGTGCCGTGGATGAACATATATCGTGTGATGCTGCATACTTGTCCAAGGTGAGCCAAATGGAATTGGTTGTTGGTCTGTGCTCACTGCAGATTGATACTGATGGTGTTCCTATTTTCCCTCAGGTTGGAAGAGAACGACCGAGGTTCGAAATTGATGAATTTGACACTGTTCCTCAGAAGTATATGACGATGTGAAATGTGGTGACTAGTTTATCTTTGAGGTGCTTATACTTGCTCATTCCTTGAGCATCGCAGCTTTCATATTCAATTCAAGTGCCAACAGTATTGAAGTTTTATACTTGACCACAAAAAAAAAAATACCACAAAAAAAAAATAAGGCATTTCTGATTACTTTGAATGTTTGGATGGGGAATCTGGCATAGTTTTGATGTTATCATTCTCAGTTCTTGTCACTTACGAAAAATCATTAATTTGATTGAGAGGGTTTGGAGCTTTACCATGCTCTTGGTTATTTACCCAGCTGCAGCAGCTCGCTTGCTCTCACGCGTGTGCTACAATCAAGTACTTGGTTGAGTTGTTTTTGACCTTTTCTTTGGTGGGGCATTTGGTAATGGGCATTCTCTACTTAGGAAATAAAAAATTCCTGGGCACTGTACCAGTTCCTTGTTTGTCAACTTCCTGTTTTTTTTTTTTGGGTGTGGTGGGGGGTGGATGGGTGTGTTCAGGGGTGGGTGGTGTGGGAGGGGTTGGAAGTAGAGATCACTGTGATACCTGCTTCCCCTTTTCGTGTGGTGTAACCCTCCCCCAACGAATTTTTTCAACATTCCATGCCCAAAGCCTTTTCTCTCTTTTCTTTCCTGCCTTTTTTAAATGGATTTTAAACAGGGAAAATGGTTTTCTGAGTTGCAATGTAAGTAAAGTTTGAGTGAAGCGAGAGTTATTTATAGGTGTCGATCAGTAAATTCGTGCCTAATGTTATTTGCCATTGACGAAAATAACTTTCAAAGTTATGTACCATTACGAAAATAGCCTCCAATCAAGATGAAATATCATTAGAATAGTTTAACTATTGACTTTTATGTACAAATAAACAGAGTCTCTGATAGAGAAAAAGTTTATAGAAAATATCAACCTTATACTGTAGAGTTGAGGCGCACCAAAAAAGCTCATCAAAATTGTGAATATATGGAAAAACTTAGATTTCAATATTTATAATAGTGCATTTTGTAACACATTATTGAGACGGTTCGTTTTTAAGATTTTAAAGTATCTATAAATATGTTCGATTTGTATTATTTTTAGAGTATGAAATTTCATGTGTAGTGCTCAAAGTGGATTTTCTTGCCACCCTTGGAATTTTTTATACCAAACTTATATTTTTCTATAAAATTTGGAGGTGCTTTACTTTGATTGTTTAAGATTGATAGCTTATACAAAAAAAACCATTACTTGAAAGTCATTATTACTTAACTGTCACGATTCCGCCCCCTGATCTCTACCGTCCCATACCAAAGGGCGACAGAGTGCCTCATTGTGAGTGGTGTGCAGTAGATCGATGACAACAGGCATTTGGAATTTAGACAGGTTCAGGATTGCTTGATGGAATCTATTTATTTTTTTCTCGTGGTTTGTTTTGATCCGCATTTTTAACACATGTTGATGCGACTCCTTTTTTGAGTGATGTACGCAACTTTCGGTCGTAATTCTGTACTTTGTCGCCCTCCGGTATGGGACGGTAGGGATCAGGGGGCGGGATCGTGAAATTACATTATTAAAATAGCATGGATTTGGAATCTTGAACAAACAAAAGATATTGGAAAATTTTCACATTTTAGGCCGTCAGTGTGCAAAAGAGTATGGTATGAGCTAGGTGTATACGTGCATAGACAAATCAAAGCAGTTGAAATCGGAGATGGTCATTTGGACCATTTCTTGGATCCGTTGGGCCACCCATTTTGCAACCGATTAGCCCAAGTAATTGATATCCTGTTGAAAGTTCCAAAACCAGAACATCATTTATCGGTAAAATTTCATTTGGGACTTGGAAAATGCAGTGCTATTTATGTTAGAAAAAAATTCATACAAGGTATCTATTTTATATTATAACAGCAAGAAACACTAACCTAATGGAAAAAGTTGTTTCGATGTTGGAAAAGTCTCAAATTGATCATCTGAAGTTGAGATGTATGCATATGACAAATAAAGAATTTTAAGTCTTCAAAATAGTACATCTTATAATACATTATGTAGACTGTCTATTTCTAAGGTTTTTAAATGATCATATTTTTGCATGATCTGTACCATTTTTTAACTTCAAATGTTATAACTAAAGGTGAAAAAGAATTTTAGACATTAAAATTGTATCTTTTGGCAAAGGTTTGAAGGTGCGTCTCATACAAATACACCATTTGTGTTATTTTACTAATGTGACCCAATCGAAAAACACTATCAACCCCACAAATTTTAAATTCAGCCTGTATGTTTTTTACTTTTATGTTAGTAGTTATTTTTATGGGTTTGAAATACTAAACAAACACATTTATTTTGATAATTTTGTAAGCTAAATTAACTAAGTACCTTTCGCATCATTTGATTTCTAGGCCAAATTGCAATTTGGCCCAATTTGAAATTGTCATAAGCAATTCAACCTCAAAGGGTTTTTGAATTTTAAAATTGATTTGATTCTCAATTGCAATCAGACCAAAATTGGATTTTTTTATCTAAACCTACAACTTTTTGGCAAAAAAATTCAAATAGTCTCCCTCTCACGATTGCCACCAACGCACCACAACTAGCTTCATCATCAACACCTGGCAACCACTACTTCGTCCTCCAGTACCACTACCACCGGCTAGCCAACATCACCACAACCATCACTCATCCACTACCACCACCCATGACCACCATTACTAACACCCTCTATACCACCACTTAAAACAAAATACAGTTTTTTGAAACATTTTAAAAAATAATTAGCCGCATTGTGCTTTCTCAAAGAAAAACTGATATGAAATATATGTTTTCTATGGTTTTGCCTATCACTTTATTCCCAAAACTTTGGCAACACCTCCCCCTATTCAGAGTCAGTAGAAAAACTCCAGAACACTCCTAGTACTAATCAAATTCCTATAGAAATTACATCAAGTTTTAGAGGTTATATCTTACAACAAAACCGCTCCTAGTACTAGTCAAATTCCTAAAAGAGCTAAATAACAAGTGTATAGATATGAAGAAAAAATGATTTAAGTCTTACAAATACTGCATTTTACAAGACAGGCCATCTACTTTTAATACTATCTACACATGTTTGGAGCTTTAAATTTCATAACTAGTGTTGAAAAATAGATTTGAGACTATCATAGAGATTGATGGCATCGTAACTGCATCTTCTAGTAGTTTTGGAGGCACGCCTTACTTTTTTTTCTTTGGTTTTTCTTTTTTTGGGGGGTGGGGGGAGAGTAAATTTCATAATTAGTATTGGAAATAGATTTTGAGACTATCATAGGGATTGATGATATCATATCTACATCTTCCAATAGTGTTGGAGGCACGTGGTGTTGATTGACGTCAACGGCTAACCACTCAAGTCCAAGCCCGATTCCTAGGTGCGCTTACTTTGATTGTTTATGATTGGTGCCCTAAGGAAAATGGGAAATATGCCATTTCCCATTTAAAAGATGTATATGCAACAGATGTAAGAAAAAAACCTTGTGAATTGACCATTGTTGCCCAACAGTATATTATGTTAATTTAGAATATGCATTTACTAATATTTTCTAACTCAAATTTACAAAAAATTTCCATGGTACAATAACAAAGACTATACAAGCTCACAAACAATAATGTTCTAGACCTTTTGCATTTTTTGAATGTAAAAAAATATACAGTTCTCATCAAAAAGATAAATTTCGTAGAGAGTCAAACCTTTATAAAATCCTTTGCCCTATCGAAACTTAAAAATCAAAGATAGTCCCACTCAATCAATGCTGATTCTTAAGTCCCTACTAACCCATAGCGGAGGAATAAACTAGGCTGAGACTAAAGCTACATACCTGCAACCGACAACAAAGTCGGTCAACATCATCCTTTGTGTAGCTCCACCATTAATAGGTTATCCTTCACGGAGAGAGAGAGAGACAGAGAAGAGTCGAAAGGGCGAGGGGGATTTAAAGACATATAAGGAACAACAACCATTCAATAAAGTGGAAAAAAAATCTTAAAAAAAGAAAGAAAAACACACGCACGCCTTATCCACATTTTTTTTTGCTTCATAGGTCCCTATACAAATCTTTCAAACCAAAAAAAAAAAAAGCGAAAAGCCCATCCTCATTCCCTGTTCCTCCATCTCCTCCATACAAATAAAAAAAAAAAAAAAAACGACACTCCTCATACACATTGATGTAATCTTCTACACTGCGATACAATATCAAAATATAAAAGCCTCAAAAGTAAGAAACAAACAATGAGATGTATCAAGGAATCCTCAAAAATATCCCTTCACTCGTTCAACTCGCACTGACAAACCTGCCAACCATGAAATGGTTCAAAAACTCATAACAAAATATGAACCTCCTTTTCCTTTATTGATTAGTTTTAAAAAGAGAACTCCAATAGCGAATTTTGTTTAATATGGGAAGATTACACAATTCCAAATTTTCCTTTTATTGATGTGGAAAAACAAATATAGTATGGAGAATTCATAAAGGGAGACAGCTACAACTAAAGAAGAACATGCCAATGTTCAAAAATTCAGCTGCATTACTTGTCTGTACTGAAGGTATAAATCCGTAAAAACTAGTATGGCAATTTTAAAGAGAAACTTTACTTAGAAAAATGATTAATAACATACTAGTACAAATTCTTAGAGAACTATCTTGGATTACTAATAAAAGAACAAGCATGCATGTGTTCACTCTCCCTCTCATGTGCACATAACAAAGTCAAATGTATCCCAATCTCTCATTACACACGATTTCTTCCTAACAATTAGTATTAGAGAACGAATTATGGAAATTTGAGGATAGACAGCTCCCTACAGCTACAGATATAGTGCTCAAACAGTTTGACGAATACAAACAGTTTAAAGATTGAACAACACCAGTCCACCACACAAGAAAGTGAAAAGACAATTTTTTCACTTGGACTCGAAAGGACGTCAATCAAAGCCCCTAAAAATAGAAGGCACACCGGGATGAGATGTGATACACAACACGAGGGAACTCTAATTGATAAATATATGCAAAGGCTTTAGGGTTGACAAAGAGCAAGTGGGCTAAGAGGAAAAATAGGAAAGCAGTGGTTAATATTGTTTTGGACTAACAATTTTGGAATGGGGTTCAATATGCATTAGGTATTTCTAGCTCGTTAGTGAAGGGATTGTGGTTGGTTCATAGAGAGAAGGAATTGGAAAATGGGTCATATTTATAAAGCAATCGTATTGCCAATGATGAAATCAAAAAAATATTAGGTGATGATGAAGCAAAGTACGGTCCTTCTTGGAAACTTATAGAAGAGAAATGGAACTCACAGTTTGTGCGGTTCCTAAACTTAGCAAAATACTAACTTAACCCTACTCATTTCCACATTGATTATGAGATACATAACAAGAGTGAGTTCATAGATGCAATCAACTAATCCAACATCAAACTCAACCATGATTTCGATGCCCAAAACAAGGTCTCAATGGATTTAGAGCGAGAGAGAGAAAGAGAAAGAGAAAGAGAAAGAGAAACCATACCTACAAAAAAGAAGTAACAAGCATTGAATTACATATACTCTAATAAATAAATTCTAAATTAAATTTTGAGACTAAAAGAGCTCAATATATTTGGAGATATGACATTCTTTCAAACTCAACAAATTAAATATCTACGCTACGAGACGAGAGGAATGAAAGCCAACTATAGATAATTACAATGGTGTCAAGTAAATTTGAGAAAAACAAACTTTGAGAAATCTCCATTTTTATGAATCCATTTGAATTTTATCATTAAGAAGTGGTCGTGTTTTCTCAGTGAGAGCAATCTCTCTTACTTGGGTATGTTGGATGTTCAGGTGAAATATAAACCGTGACGGTAAAGGATGAACCACCTCACCTCACGGATCAGGTCCTATTTTAGACGGTGCATTGGACCATAACATGGCCTAACTCATTGAATTTTAATAATGGGCATGGTGGGGGAATTTGTCATCTCGGCTTGGACTTATTTTGTGTTGCAACTTGTATGGTTCAAAAAAGTTTTCTAGGCCTTATTTTGTTTGTTACTATCCTACTAATGATGTATATGCAATAGATGTCAGAAAAAGAACTTGTGAACAAATCGTTGTTGCCCTACAGTATATTATTTTCTAACTCAAATTTATAAAAAATTACCATGGTACAATAGCAAAGACTATACATGCTCTAAAACAATAATGTTCTAAACCTTTTGAATTTTTTGAATACCAAAAAAAATAGAGTTCTCATCAAAAAGATAAATATCGTAGAAAGTCAAACTTTCATATATTCCCTTGCCCTATCGAAACTACAAAAATCAAAGATAGTCAATGCTCATTCTCAGGTCACTACTAACCCATAGTAGAGGAATAAACTAGGTTGAGACTAAAGTTAAATACCTGCCACCGGCCAACAAAGTTGGTCAGCATTATTCTGTGTGTAGCCCCTTTTTGCATGCCCTCAAGCGGGTCACTGCAAATAAAAATTCATCACCATTAATAGGTTATCCTTACTTGAGAGAGAGAGACGGAGAAGAGAAGGGACCAGGAGGGGAAGGGGAGGGGGGGGGGGTTTGAAAGACAAAAGATCAATGGAGCAAGCCATTTAACATAAATAATATATAGCGGAAGCAAAAAGCTTTACCTGATGGCAACATTTATCTATTCATAGGTCCACATTCTATCAATGAACGACCGAAACATCCACACGGATGCCACACCTATCAGCTTCCCAATCAGTGCTTGCAACACTTTGCTAACATCCCTCAAATTTCAAACATATAAGGAACAACAACCATTCAATAAAGTGGGAAAAACATCTTAAACAAAAGGAGAAACACGCACACCTCATCCACATTTTCTTTTGCTTCATAGGCCCTCCTATACAAATCTTTCAACCAAAAAGAAAAAACAAAAAAAACAAAAAGTGAAAATCCCATCCTCATTCCCTGTTCCTCCATCTCCTCCATGCAAATAAAAAAATCAAAACAAAAATTGGGACTCCTCATACACATTGATGTAATCCTCCACACTGCGATACAATATCAAAATATAAAAGCCTAAAAAATAAGAAACAAACAATGAGAAGTCACAAGGAATTCTCGAAAATATCCCTTCACCCGTATGACTCGCACTGACAAACCTGCCAGCCATGAAATGGTTTAAAAACTCATAACAAAACAAGAACCTCATTTTCCTTTATTAATAAGTATAAAAAGATAACTCCAATAGCGAATTTTGTTTAATATGGGAAGATTACACAACTCCAAAATTTCCTTTTATTGATGTGGAAAAACAAATATAATATGGAGAATTCCTAGAGGGAAACTGCTACAAATATAATATGGAGACTTACTAAAGATGCTCCCACTGAAACCGACAAAGTTTCCTTTCAAAATAACTTGAATTTATGTCTTAGAAAACATTTTACTTTTAAGTAAAAATTCAAAGGTTTCAAAAAAGACTTTATTCAAAGATTGATGACTATGAGTTACTCCAAAATATTATGACAAACGGTTTTGTGGTCATACTATAATGTTAAAAGAACCTCTTGAAGGGTGATCTTTCAAAATGGAAGAAGCATGAAGTTTAGCATAGTCATAACTCTTTAATAGAAAGACAATACAAAGTAGTAATACACAAAATGGGGTGGAATCCCTTTTATGGTTTTTAACATCCTGTTGTGCTAAAAAATTTTAACTATAGAAATCCTCGTTCAGAAGAACAAGTGTTTAAGATAAAATCTCTTTCATCACATTTTCTTAATTATTACAATCCATACTTAAGATACATTTTGGTTCGATTGATTTCAATTTCCAAAACAGTGTAAAATATGCTACTATAAAGGAAAATGTTATTTCATACATGAAAATCCTTTTTTATGACCATTGAGCCTAACGTGCCATATAATAATCCCCCTATGACATTCATAACATAATACCACATTCACTTATTCACATAAGAATTATGGCAGGATCATGCATCACTAAGTACTCACAATATGATAATATAATACAACACATTATCTCATCATTGAGGAATGCTCAAAATAATGAAGCATAAATAGCTTGAGGCACCATAAGGATTAGTCAATGTCATATTCATGATACATCTCATGAGTTTTCAAATCATGAAGCAACTCACAAATAATAAACATTTTTCATGTCTCATAATTCTCAAGCAATCACAAGTGCAATCCTTACACATGCCATATATATTGAATTAGCTATATCCATAGGATCGGTAATTTGAATCATAGATCATAGATCTAGAGTCAAATTACTAAGCATGTTATATAAGAGTGGACACAAGCATTCAAAATCTCAATATATAAGTATCGGCCTAATTCAAGTTTATAGCTTATGTGACGAGTCCAAGCCTTCCAATTATTAAACTTATATAATTCACCAAGATATTCTACCAATAATTGCTCACATGATATCATAAAACCAAAATGGTTGTTCTCTAAGAAATGAATTATCAATATATTAAAAGCATGCTCATAAGTAGAAAGAAGTCGTACCTTATAGTTTTAAAGTGACCAAGTCCTAATGTGCCAATACCTTTGTCTTTGTGATTTGGTTTCATCCTTTATTTCTCTCTTTTGTAACTATGATCATTGTCTCATCCATCCACATGTGTCTTTAGTCTTGTTGTCAACTTCATCACACACTATCCGGGACTAGTCCGGATCTAGACCAAGACTCGAGTATCAGGTATTAAAACTTAACACTCACGATTCGGTGGGGTTTATATAACTCTCCCACTGATCTAAAATACCTTAAGAACTCACAAGGACTTTCAACAACTATACTTCATAGAGGGATTACAAAAATATAAAGTATCAACGCCTTTCTCACACATTGAATATATGAAATAATGTTTTTCTCGTTTTTCAGGATGAGTATGGTACAATTCAATGGACATAACTTTAAATTTACACATCATTTAATCATGAAACTTATTCTCAGATAAAATAAACTTAAAATTAGACAACTTTCATTTAGAAAAAAGCATTGAATAAGGGGCCGAAATGGACTAAATAACATGATTCTCATAGGGTCAATTTCTGCTTTGTGTAGCAGAAATTACAGTATGATACCTCTCAAGTAAAACAACTATAATTTTCCAAATATAGAGAATTTTCTTATGAGCCCAAATGTACATTTAAACTAGACTCGATTCTATAAAGTGGTCCTAATTCATTTTCATAAGTTTTGATTGATCAAAACCCCTATTGAAAAAGGTATAAAGTTCTTGGAAATGTCTTTCTCAGATCTGTCACACTTTAACAAATGGTCAATAACTTCAAAAATATACAAAATATAATCATGAGACTTTTTCCATATGAAAATATACTCAATAACACAAAATACTACAGAATATTATTCTCTTATATAAAGCATTGAATGCCCTACCATTCTCTCACAAAATATACAATAGTTCTGAAAAATATTCATTCACAGTTCTCATGCCATTGACACTATCAATTCTCAAATTCAAAGCATATATATCATAGCAATCATGATCAAGTGTTTATACAATTTAAAAATTAAATTATACACAATATAGGAAGACTAAGGGACCATATTAGAGCCCTGCTCTGATACCATTTATTGGTGGTATAAGACCAATGGGCTAGAAATGCAATCTTTTAAAAAATTTCCATTGTATAAAAACTCAAGGGTTTAAATGCATAAATATCTCAATACAGAACCATAATACATATATTCCAGCCTACAAACATAGTTTATACACATTTGAATAATAAAAT